GACACTGAGTGTGGACCACAGGTTGCGAGTGTTCCTTTTCGTGCAGGCAGAGCTGCCGCCAACTACTGAGGTTACGAAGGAAAGGAAAATTGATTCATCACCACCGGGTTTAAGGTAACAAATAGCCAACTCAACGAAGTACACTGCAAGTGTGATTAAATTTACCTAATATCACACTTGTAACACAGTAAGCAACCGTCAGTGAAATGCCTCTTGTAACACAATAAGCAACCGGCAGTGACCTGCCACTTGTAACACCGTAAGCAACCGGCAGTGAAATGCCACTTGTAACACCGTAAGCAACCGGCAGTGACCTGCCACTTGTGATATCGTAAGCAACCGGCAGTGACCTTCCACTTGTAGCACCATAAGCAACCGGCAGTGACATGCCACTTGTGACACCGTAAGCAACCGCCAGTGAAGTGACACTTGTAACACCAAAAACAACCAGCAGTGATCTACTATCGTCAAACATAAATGCAAGCAGCGAGCGGCACCACCAAATACAGGCGGCGAGCAGTGGTTCATCGAACCATCGAACAAACTTTAAGACCTAACCGGAGCTGCAAATGAATATCAATAAAAGGACAAGAGGTTGTGGAAATGGATCCAGAGCGACGAAAGGCAACTGTGAACATGGATGAAGGTGACCGAGGCCCAGAGGTAGAAGTTGTCCCTCCAGAGTTGAACGACAACGACTTTACGGCAACAGAAGCTGAAGGGGGCCACCCTCTGCCTGAGCCTGAATGCTCAGCACCTGACCAAAATCCCGGGTCCAACATGATGGAAGAAGTGCGACGAACTGTTACTGAAATGCTGGAGGCGTATTTCACAAAGGGGGAAGATAGGGAAGCAGGATTTATTACTTGTGAATATGTAGTGCGTCAAGTGATCACAGTGTCATCCACCTGTCGGCCTCCTGAGTGGATATTGGTGATAGCTATTGGAGAGCCGGCGACTGTATAGCAGGTGGCGCTGGTGTTTGTATGTGGTACGTAAGCCGTGGTTTGTAACCCGAACAGGTCAAGGGCGGTAACGATCCTGCTCGCCCCGTGCCCAACCCCGCTCCGCCCAGCCCTGCTTTGCCCAGCCCGGCCCCGCCTAGCCCCATTGGCCAACACACCAAAACTTACCCACCCTCCCCCTCCTCTCAAACCGCAACCATTTACCTCTTCCACTGACCTCTCGACCCAGGTCGACATCGTGGCTGGGAAATGTGCTTGTCAGTGCTCAGGCCAGAATAAAAAATGTACAACCTGTATTTGTGTGAGAAGCAACACACAATGTGTAGGTTGTAGGAAAGGGACCAGGTGTCAAAATCCATACGGCAGAGATCCATCACCCGATGACGACATGTCAGACGATAGAAGTAACCCACTCAGTCGGAAAATACTGTTCATGAGGCGAATGACATACAGTCAACAAATTGGAAAGGCTTCTCGGGGGACGATGCGGAGAAGTGGTGAAAGAAGCCTACTCAGAAGTGGTCAGGTGGTCGCCAGCTAACCTCTTTAATCCACCCAAGTGCGCAGCCACCAAAGAAATGATCCGGGAGATGACTTGCCTCATAATCAATTACACTCAATACATTCCCCTGGCCCCATTTGCTCTTCAAATACTGGCCATAATACCCTATCTATTCTGTCAGGGGACACACGCAAGGTCTAAGTGCAAAAAAAATGTGGCAACAATGAATAGAAGATTGGCAAAGTGGCAGAAAGGGGCCCCTTGATGATCCCCTACGGGAAGCAAGAACACTGCAGGAGAGACTAAAATTCATAGGAGACGAAAGGCAAAACACTGAAGATGTTGCCAGAAAATTTGGTAACAAGATGCGTGAGGAAAAAGTGTCCTTGGCGGTAAGATCTCTCACAGAGGAAATTTCCGGTGGTGTTTTGTCAATAAACGGAGAGACATTACAACAACTGAAGGAAAAACATCCACCTGCAAGTGAAGAGGAAGGCATCAGGTTCCAGGGTGCTTATATCC